CTGAGGTTAACACATCGTTTTGTTACGGTACAGCCAGCCAGTCCCAAGCAGGACGAGCAGCTGACGAAACTCAAGGGACCCCAAGGGCTATGGGTGACACCACCGGGGGTGCGAGGGGGGCAGCAGGAAGAGGGACAGACAGGCGAACAGAGCAGCAGGATTATTACTTGTTGTAATTTCCCCCCTCCCCCCAAATGAGCACGGCAAAGCAACGAAGCCTCCTCCAAAACACACCTTCCCCCTCCACCCCTGACCCCACGCCAGAGCTCTCCATCCCTGCATCCCAAAGAGGGGCTGACCCACAGGACCCGGTGCTCCTGCGGCCGCGCTGGTGGCTGGGGGCCAGCACGGTGCAGCCCTCGCCGCCCCGGGACGGACCAGCGTTCGCAGGGGGAAGGCCCACCTGATCACTCGGACCACGAAAATTAAAAATAAAAATAATAAAAAAAAAAAAAGCACAAAACATGATTGTGGTGAAGCATCCAAGCTAAAAGCAAGGCCAAACTACCTCCTCAGCAGGAGGGCAAGAGCTCCCTCAAAAGCAACCCCCCTCTCCGGACAGCTGTCCCTGTGTCCGGCGCTGTGCAATGCCTTCGGTACGCAGCAGGAGGGCAAGGGCCCTGCAGACCGGCCCCCACGCAAGCCCCAAGAGAAGGGACAGCCTTGCTGTGGTCAGTGCTTCCTCAGCGCCCCGCGGCCCCGGCCAGCACACAGCAGGGACGCAGGATGCGGCCCCATAGCCAGGGCATCGCGGAGCCGCCTGCCCCCTACCACACGGAGAGCGGGAGCGAACGGCCCCGCGTTCCCTCCGCCCGGAGGAAGGCAGGCAGGAGCAAAGCAACAGCCGCCTCAGGCTGTCACAGCCCATCTTCCCTTCGCTCCCTGGCTATGCTGCTGTTCGACAGACAGGAAAACAAGGCACAACGTCCGCAAATCCGGAGGGCGGCAGGACCGCTGGGCTTGCTCTGACCCCGGGAAATGGGCTGTCACGCGGAGCCCTCAGCCACACTGATGTGACAAACCACTGGCTCAGCAGAGGGGGGGGAAAAAAAAAACCAAAACCAACTCTTCCATGCCAAGACTGAGCCCCAGCCTTAGAAATCAAGAAATAATTTAAAATCAATTCAGATTTTGGGAAATTCTCTAGGAAATTTCTTACCTCTTACCACCCAAACAATTCCAGTCTGCTCCACAAGCAACAACTTCACGGCAGGAGCTCGTTCCTCCTCATTTTCTATTTATTTTGTTGCTAAAATGCAGACAATTGGCTTTAAATGAGAACACACACCGATGAGAGGAGCACAGGGGCACAGCAGCAAGGACCACCTGCGGCACATCCAGACCCACCTCCACTTGCAAACAACCACCAAGGCACCTCCAGGGTCCTTGATCAACCCTCACCTCCAGCCCCCAAGGCTCCTCCTTCCCAAATCAGGGGCAAACCTGGCTGCATTCTTAAACACCTCAGAGACCTGACTCAGAGGGGCTCACGAGAGAGGGGAAATCCAGAGATAACAGTCACAGCCGCAGCACTGTACAAGCGTTCCTTGCCCATCTTTGCCCAGTTACCACCCTGCAATCCCAGAGCACGGCTGCTGTTACGGAGCAAGCCACAGACCCAGGCTGGCGTGCCGAAATGGAGCCTGTGAGCAGTACCGAGCTGCAGGGTGGTGTGGCAGGGGCAGACAGACCAGGGCAGGATCACACCACCAGAAAACAGCAAAGTAGCAGCTACCCAGCCTCACTCCAATCCAGCTGTGCTTTCAATTCTAGCAGCAGTTCATGAAGCTGCTCCACACGGACCAGTCCACAACCTCCCCCCCCACCTAAAGCAGCATCTTTGACACAGTGTCAGTTCGGGAAGGTGATGACTTCAGCCAGGGCCCCGTGAGCATCCACGCCACCGCTGATCCAACAGCTTGCCCAAGCTCGCCCTCTTGATCTCTGCTTTCAGGTCCTGGCTGCTCTCATCCACCAGCCCCGCAGCCGTACAGGGACAGCCCTGGAGAGATGACAACTCCTCCCAGCTAGGAGATGCAGCTCTAGATCAACCAGATACTTTGGGAAAATGCTGTTCATTACCAGCTTATGATTTTGCAGAGAGGGCAACGCAATTAGCTGCGTCTTTGAGTAGCCCACGGCGGTGCCTGCTCCACACCGCGCACAGGAGCATGCTTTGCAGCTCACGAGGATGGAGTGCCAGAGCCACAACCACGCCAGCTGTAACGCAGATATCCCGACCCAGGAGATGGAGCACAGCGGCAGCACGGCAAGCAGCTCTGGCTGAAAAGGAGCTTCCGCCCTTCCTTACAGCAGGAGCCTGACTTGCCAGTGCTACCTCTGGGCCCCAGGAGCAGATCTTACCCCTGTGACACATGCCCCCTGTGAGGGAACCCCGCTCACGAGCCTGGGGAGGGTTTGCCTGCCAAAGCCTGCCCAGTGCTGGGTAAAGGAACCAAGTAAATGCCACAGCAGCTCTGCAGCCATCCCCCCTTGCCTCAGCCAAGCAAGGAGCAGCCCAGTGTTACCTCAGCCCTCGGAAACGCACAGGAATGCTGCCCACCAAGACACAACGCACAAGGAAACCCAGGCGAGAGCCCTCCTTTGCTGGGCAGGTCTCCTGCTCGTGCCCAGCACAAGTCCCACCAGCAGCCCCAGGCCAGAGATGGGCTCGCCAGGGCTGCGGCGCTCCCTCGTCAGGCTGCAGCATTACGTGGCACTAGGGACATGCCAGCCACTCCCACTCGCTCGCAGCAAGGACGGGTCCCTCCAGCTGCTGTGACAATCTCCCACTCTCCCCCCAACCACGCTGGAGGCACAGAGCAGAGCAACCTCCTGCCCCAGCCCAAACCCGGAGAGAGCACGGGGGATCCGAGCGAGGCCACAAGCACGTACAGTCGCTGTCACAGGGAGGGTGCTACAATGGTATATACACAACATAGCGGCTTCAACTACTTTGTGAGCACAAGTCTTGGATTTGACTGCCCTTGGCACCTTCCCCCATGAGAATCAGGGCTGGCAGGGGTTCTCCACAACAGGGGGAGGCATCCGAACGAGCTGCAGGGTCAGAGGAAAGGCCGCGGGGACGATCAGCTCGGCAGCAATGCCGTGAGGAGTCTCTGGGCCGGGGGTGGGGGGCCGAGAGCCCAACACACCCCGGGGTGCAGGAAGCCAGCGAGACTCCCCAGTCTAGCTCCACCATAAGGCAACTTTTTTTTTGTGTGTGTTTTTTTGTTTTGTTTTTTTTGTTGGTTTTTTTTTTTTCTTCAATAATATTTCCAAGGAAGAAAGCAAAGGGAGATGTGTCTTTTCAAAGAGTTTTTTTCTTGTCATTTTAGAGGGGTTTGTGGGGGGGGGTGTGTGTTTGTTGTTGTTGTTTCATTTTTTCAAGGGAAAAGGAAGAGAAAACCTCCTTCGGCAAAGTCCTGTCTTTGCATGCGATGGGCGTTCCTGGGGCAGCGGGTGCACCGTCCGGGCAGGCTTGAGTCCGGGTGCCTGCCAGCCTCCCACCAGCCATCCTCGCAGGAAGGAGTCAGAACATGCCCATCCTTGGCAAAGGTCCTTTGGTTGACTTCCAAATTGTCCGTGATGGAAGGGAGAGGTGGGTGGAAGGAGAGCCAGACCCTCAGGAAGGTTGGAGGTGAAGACGCTGGGGAGGAAGGACCAGGAGGACGAACAGGGCGATGCTCCTGTCATGGCGGTCGGTGTCGGAGAGGCACCACCGTACGTGGAATGGGAGACGTCAGCCAGGTCATGGAGATCAGAGGCTCCACAGCATCGTGACACGCTGCGGCTTCGGTCCCCCATCGGGGAACCTCGCTCCTCCGAGCTTCCTGAGCAGGCTGCCCTGCGATCCGAGGGGGGACACAGAGGGGAGTCGTTGGGGCCGCACAGAGCAGACTTGTTTTGGTAAATCCAGACAAACTTCTAGCAATAATTTAAAACTTGATATATATATATAATAATAAAAAAATCTCCCCTTTCCAACCCAGCCAGAACTTTTTTTTTTTTGAAGAGACACTAAGACATGAGTGTGTGCATAGGAGGGGAGGGAAGGGAAGGCAAAGGGTGGGTCTGCTGGGAGCGGGTCTGGCTCTGGTCAAGGTTGTAATAGCAAAATGGTGTTTTAGATGCAGATCGTCTTTGCTTTCCAGCCACGAGAGAAAAAAAAGAAAAAAAAAAAAAGTCATGTGCGTTGAAGTTTCTCCCAAGCAGCCTAATTCCTGGGCACCCACCTTCCAGCTCCCTTCCTGTCTCACCCCCTCACGTCTTCCCTTCTCCAAGCCAGTCCCCTACCAACCCACCCCGTCCCCCGGCAGGAAGCAGACATTGCAGCCTCTCTACTTCCCCACTGTCTGCGATTCTGCAGCCGATGGGGCGGGAGATTGCTGGCTCAGGTTTTTGGCATCCTCTTGTGCAGGCTGGCTGGGTGAGGTGTGGGCTTGGCTGGATGGGCACTGGCTGACCGTTTTGCTGGAAGACTGGGATGGGTAGCGCTTCCTGCCATCTCCCCCTGACGTCGTAGGGTACCTCTTGTGTCCACCTTCCTCCCCCATGGGTGGCTGGAAGAGAAGCACGCCAGTATCAGCACAGCCTCCTCCAAATGCAGATGCCCTCCCCCTGGAGCAGAGGACAGTCTTCCTGCAAACCTCTAGGTGCAGCATCTCTCCCTGACCCACAAGGAACACACACACCCGTCCCAAGCATGCAGCTGCCCTCCTCTCTAAATCTACTGCTGCCAGATTT